AATTCATCTCTGCTAAGAGATTGAGCTCATTTGCCATTATAAAACGAAAAACTGCAATGATTTAGAGCTAAGACGGCAGTTCAGCACGAATACAAGTTCAGCACAATTTAATATAACAACTTGAATGTAATAGAACTATCAGTCTATCAGTGACATTTATTATAGTACAGTAACGACTAAAATAGTTTAAAAGATTTCCTTACAACTTCGGAAACGTTTTTTCAACAGGTTGTGAAATTGATTATCTTCCTGAATAAATTTTTACTCAAAAGAGTATATATTAGGGGAGAACTTTTGTTTTAGTTAAGACAGTGAAATTTTTCAACTATTCTCGTTAGTGGAGAGGAGAAAGATGAAATTGATTTTCCTAGGGACATGAATGTAAATTAAGTTATGATCGTAAATGGAGAGGGAAAGATGATATGATTAATGCTAAGAAATTGTAAATTAAGTTATGATCGTAAATGGCACGGGAAAGATGAAACATGATAAGAGTAATGCAGGAAAGTTGAGAATAAAGTTATGAAAAAGGTTCTGATTTACTTTTAATGGCAATGATGGCAGCACCTTTCCGCCGTACAAAAATATTGTACTCAGTTTCGATTAACAAGAAAGTCATACGCGCGATGATTATTATTTGCAATAAAATAGGATGTTTTGGTGTTTAAAAGTTCATAGAATTAAACTCTGAACATAACAACGTATAAATTGCATATAATTACTACAAATTATCAGACACACGCACACAAAAATATACAAGCTCAGAGGCGTTGCTCAAGATGACAACCAACGTTTGCGTAACGTAACATTTGTACATTCAAATCATACGTTAAGTTGGATTCACGACGAACTTGAATGAAGAAAGATTTTCATTTGGTACGAGGAACCAAACAGTCTTTGTCCAAGAAGACAGTTTGTAGTTTTATAATTTTTAAACTTATATAATCTGAATAATCAGCTCATCATAATCATTTAATCACTGACTCATTGAAAGTCTTCGGTTTTTATTATGTTTATTGTACCTTATTCTCAATGGGATTTTTTTCTGTGATTAGATTCAATTAGATTGCTCTTTAGAAAACTCTTTATGAATTCGTGTTTACAAATTAAAACTAAAAATATTAACTTCGTTAGATAAAAACGACAATAGTTGAAGCCAATTACAGCATCAAGAACATTAGGTTAACTTTGTTAACACTCATTGTAAATATCTACGTGATCGAGGTGTTCGTAACCGAATTGACCGAGCAGGGAAACATACAGTTTTAAATAATACATGAAGTAAATGAACAAGATTGATAACAACATCAATGATAGTTATAACAATACAACAATCAAGGCGATGTTACTGAATATCATCAGTTATCAAGAAAAGCTTTAAGGATATAAAATTCGGTTAACGAATATAAAAAATTCACGCATTAAAGCGGCAACAATTAAAAATATAAAAACTTGGTGAAATATTTTTTAATTCGACTATTGAGCTTAAATCAGAACACATTAGTAAGAAACCTCTGTGATGTGTTAGTAAGAAACCTCTCACAAAGGACAAAATAATTAGCATTGGTCTGTTCCCTTCAAATATGATCAAATCGTTAAGATATAATGAAGCCAGTCTTATGTCTTATTCTATGTTATATAATTTGGAACAAAATACAAGGTCACCTTATATAGAGTACACCTCAAAACGGCGCACGGCTTTGACACAAAACTACTACTCAGGTGTGATCGATCATTCATGTTCAATAGATTCAACCCAAGTTGTAGCATATTTACCAAGTTTTTAGGGACTATAATGAACCTGATACTGGGAAGAGAGCCTCAATAAACGGCGGTATTCGACGCCTCTTTACGGTCACCGAAAAATTTTTGTCGGAAAAATTGGGAGAATATTTATGTAATTTTGTTAGCCAAAAATACGAGGACTTCGGAAAAATCGCCGTGCCTTCTGAGACAAATTATAATTAATAATCACAATTTGGTACAGAAGCAACTAGAAGCCGAAGGAAATAATCCCTGAGAGCGTTTGCAAAACAAGAAGAGTTTACGATGTGCTCAAATAATATTACATAATAATGTGTTTTGAATTCCATAAAACATGACAATAATGTATGCCTTCAAAATTATTTAAACAATTACGTTGGTCGAATCATATATCTGATCTGAACAATCGCATCAGTTCGAATGAGATAGAAAAAATTGCAATAGAATTGAATTTTGCTGAAGTAAAATTTCACCAATTATGAGATAGACACCATATGTGATGTATATATATGAAAGAGAGGCAACCACTATTAAAATGTAAACAATGTAAGGCTAGAGTATGGTGAGACGATGCACAGAAGCTGAGAGATGCACGCAGTTTACCAAGCCACCGCGTTTCTGCAACCAAACCAAACCACACGTCAGAAAAAAAAATTTTGGTCAATATAAAATATTTTACAAGGAAAGAGGAAAATTTTTGGTTAAAACACCGATTAAATCAGGTACTTTTGGAACTTTTGGAATCCATTTATCAATAATTTTTCAAAACACACACAACTTAGAAAATCCATCATGATGACAAGCAAAGAAGATATTTCAGAGCCACACTGAAAAAGCCGACTGCAAATTTTAATTTTGAAGCAAAAATATAGCATGAAAAAGTTGAAGAAGTTATGTATCTACTCAACCAAATGAATACTTTATTTCAGCATCATCATGAAATTAATCATGAGAAAATATGGAGAAATTACTTCTAAGTTATTATTCGTAATTGTCATGGATAGCTCAATTTTAGAATGGAAAAGCAAACGCTAATAATATTCACCAAGAATAGTATAAAGAAATTACTCTATTGGCAATTTATGCACCAATTTTTACCCTTCATGAATTCTCTTTCAAGAGTTAACATAATGTTTAAGTTGTGACTGAATATGTGAATTTAAGAACAAAGGATCAAGACCAGCGTTACGCAGTCTTTTTTATAGTGGAGTAGAACTTGAGGTTCTGCATAGTGGTAGCCTAGCATCAACTAATTAACATTAGCCGCTAATATGCGGTATTAGTTGCTCTTTAAATCACTTGATGCGCTTATTGTAAGTGGATTAATCAAGTGTACTGTTAGAAAGAAATACGTCACTGGGACCAGGAGAGCTGACACAGGCGACAGATGAATAACATTATCGCGTGTTTAACAGCAAATATTTTTGTGAAGTAAAAAAAACTAAAAATTGTCCATCGCCCTCAAAGAGCTCGTGTAGCACAGAGTAGACCTTCGCTTAATTTCACCTTTACTGATCTTGGCTCAGACAAATTAGGTCAATAAATATTTTTTCCTCAATTTTTAATTCTCAAAAAAGGGTTGCAAGAGTAACTTATCTAAAGTGAGAGCCCAGATAAAAACTAGAATTTAATATGCTTTAGTTAATGAAATGATGAAGCTAGAATTTTAAATTCAGGCGTTGAGCCCACGTGATATTTGTGCCAATTTTTGCGGACCGCAAAACCGTATAACAACGCGTACGCTTTAAATGCGTTGCGCGTATGAATGGTGTGCTACATAAATGGCAAATAATGAGCACGCGAATATTTTTCTTTATCTATCCAGCTACAAGGAAAAATGGAAGAAGGGCATGCACATGAATATTCAGCTGTATTAGTCTATTAGCTGACATACTCTCAAGGCACATCTGACATCAGACAAATAATTGTTCGCTGGCATACGCATCAGCAATGACAAAACTGAATTTAAAGAAAGTAGAGAAACTTGTAAAGATTTGGTGATGTCAATAATAATACACTGAGATCATCATGAAAATATTAAAAATAGAAGGATGAACAAATGTGATATCCCTACAAGAGATATGAGCTCCAGGAAATCATCATAAAATTAATTGGTTTATCCCTCATGATTTTAATATATAACATGAATAAATGAAGCTAGATAGAAACGAGTATCAAAATAACAAACAAATTTTAATGAAATCCGTCATGAACAATAACTATGGAAGATATTACCTTCCAATGTAACCAATTATAAAAAACATGATGATATATAAAAGAAGCGAAACAATTTGGTTATATATAAAAAATTTGAAAAACAAGCGTTTAAATCCCATGTACGAAAGAAACCAGAAAACAAAACCACAAGTTATTAATATAATACGATTACCTCTTTTCAAATATAACCAATTACATTTCAAGTCTAAAAAAAACACTAAATTTACTGTAACTAATTATTTATTAAATTTAACCAACTTTTTATGAGAAAGAATGAATAATACCCGAAGCGTAGGTGTTACAAAACCGCACACAAATATACCGAGATAAAAAATAAAGACAGGGAGCGAAATAAGTGAGACCCGGAGCAAAATGTTACGTACATAAATACGGCAAATAAAATTCACGGTGAACAAGGTACGGAAAAAATTAAAGCGTATGAATTTTGAAAAGGAATTATAAGAATCTGATCATATCTAATTATAGATAAATGCAAAACGAGCATCTCAAGCTTTGACAGAAGACAAGACAAGGATTGATGTCAAACAGACGATTTGGCTACATGTATACAATAAGGATTCATTATACTCGTATATATTCACCGTGTACGCGGGAAAGCTTGCGTTCCGCAGGAGTTGGTAACATGGGCAGGCAGGAAGAAGTGGGACCGGGTTAGGGCATTGCGAAAAATAAATCGTTTCAAGGATCGTTACAAAAAAAAAATTGTTACGCAAATTTCCGAAAATTTAAATAATTAGTCTAAACTCAAAAGTAAGATTGTCCTAGTTGCCAGAAAAGACAGATATTCGTTGTAAATACGAAACAAAAATATAGAAGGTTGAAAAATCAGAATTCACATAATGTTGGCCACGGGCCATTAAAACTGATACGAAACTGAAAACGAATGCTAAGATACGATAAGAAGTGTAACAACGGTTCGACTTCTTCCAGACGAGTCTCGTAAAATTCGTATAATATAGAAAAATCAGTCAAAAATTATAAGGATGCAGTCACAAAAAAATATTAGTATAAAATTTATACAATAAAAATGAAGAAGTAATAAATATAAGACAAGCAAATAGATAAATTTCCGTGAGCTAATGAAACAGAGCTAAGAAACAGCGTGATACAGATATTTGAGTGGTCAATATTTAAAATTAGCGAGGAATTCGTAACTGCAGGATTAAGGACAATTAGTGAGCAATAGAACAACTTGCTTGCATAGAACAGACTGTGCATAACAAGAGGAGGAGTAACCTTTGCTGAGGGTGAGAGTAGCGGGTGTGTGCAGATTTTTTGGGATCGGCAGTGCAGAGGGGGAAGTGAATTCCAGAGAGGGTGAGAGTAGCGGGTGTGTGCAGATTACGGGAGATCGGCAGTGTAGAGGGAGAAGTGACCTCCAGAGAGGGTGAGAGGAGTGTAGCGGGTGTGTGGAGATTGAAAGGTTGTAACTATATACTGGAGGAGAGTAACCTTTGAAGAAGGTCAGTTCATAGAGTGTGCAGAGTGAGAAGAAGCAGCAGTGCAGAGTGTGCGCAGAGATGGTGCACTGTAGATACCAGGGCACAACAACAGCAGAGGTGTGGTTCGCTATGCCATTTTTACGCTAAGGAACGTCGACGCTGCACAAAAGTACGTATCACAGCGAACATCGCTACGTGACTGGCCCAGTTCTTCTTCACACATTCTAAGTCATGTTAGGTAAAAAACCATGTTACAAGAGGTCTAGAATGTAAACTAGCCAACGACAAATTAGCGTAAGGTCATTATTAGTCAAGTTAAAATAGTCCCGAAAGTTGAAAAGGTAAAAATAAAACTAAATAGTCAGGCAGAGCAAATAGATGCGCCGAGGTACAAATGAACTAACGCTTGAATTAAAATAAACGACGCGTAATTTTTTGCTGGATTATTGGAATTAATGCACGCAAGAGCAAAAAATTATATCCCGTTATCTTACAAAAGTCGCACAATTTTTAAAAAAGGACAAAAGGCTTCATTCAGAAGTTTCATCAACAGCACTCATCAAAGAGCCTTCACCAAGAGAGAATTGCACAAAAATTATAAGAAAAACTTTTCGCTCAAGAGCGTTGTTTATCCAATATATAGAGAATTTGTAATTTATTTCAATTGAAGTTTCGATCCGTTGAGATAAATTTTCAGTCACTTCATGTTGAGATAAATTTCCAGTCGCGTCATATTAATGACATGAGCATTGAGCAGCTTCATTGAACAACATTCGTAGTGTGTCCCGTAACATAGATACACATACAAGGTAAATCTAAATCACGAGAACTGAAGACATTCTCTAAAATTGTTAACGAAAAATATTAGTGGGCGGGAATGTACGAAGGCTTCCTTTAATGCAGCCATAACAACATGAAAGTCTTTAAAAACACTCACGTGGAGCTATACACAGGTACTTTAAAACTATAACAAAGGCTTCTACAGACAACATATGGAAAGTTTAATATTGAATCTGAGGTTGTAGATATTTCTGCGACTAATATGCTAAAAAAAATTCCGGTTTCTGAACAATTTTCACCATACTACCGCGTTGACATGTATTCTTGGGGTATTTAAGGGAACGAGTAATGGATAAGTTTTCCATGAATATAAATTTAAAGTACGAATTGATTGTAGGTATTCGAGTGCTGCGATTAGATTTTTCTATAATTTTGCAGAACCAGTTTTTTTTGTTCTTCTAGCATCTAGCTTATGTCAGGTGGAAGAAACTGTCTATCTGGCGGAACAATTTTAAAGTCACTAGACGACTTTCTATCTGGAATATCAATACCATTTTTATACGGTAGACTTCATATATTTTCCATCAAGTATGAAATAAACAAGTAAAGTTATGCGTCGCAAGCCTTTAAAATTTCGAAACATATACCCACTTCGAGCGGGTTCAACATTTTCACTTCATTGCCCATTGGGGGAAAGAAATTGCATATTCACAACTTTGACACGATAATTCCAACTTCAATCCAAATTACTTGACGATACGATAATTTCAACTTGAATTCACCATTATCGCCACCAAAATACTTTCAACTTCAATTTTAATTTTTAACAAGAAATTCCTATTTCTTGTCTGCACGACAATTAGAAATTTTAATTACATTTTCAGCAAAAAAAAAAGCAACATATAATTTATTTCTTTGCATCGTAACTTAAAATTCAACTCACATTTTTTGCTGTTATAACAGTTCGAGCTTCAATTCACATTTTTAACAACAAATTAACATTTCATGCTGGCATGAAAATCTCACCTTCAATTCATATTTCTTTCGCGCGCGTCAGTTAATACTTTATATCACATTTTGCAAGGGCACGGTAATACATAATTTAAATTATGTGGCTTTGAAAAAAATGTCCATAAAACGAAAACAATTAAAAATATGACAAAAATGATTGAAGGAAATTCAATTCTAATTTATAAATTCAATACGCGGAAAAATACTGATAAAAATCGTAATTGATTGCTAAGTTGTCCCTTTTTGCTAAGATTAATTGATTCGATTTGAATATATTCTTAAGATTTTGCGTTGTTAAAGAGTGATAATCTTTAGCGTAAGTATTTACATTTTTATAATCATTTTTAATGAAGAAATAAACATGTTGCTTAAAAAGTAATTGACGTTTAACATCAGTCACGATGAGATATGACGACACATTAATTTATAAGAGTGCGAGAAAAAATAAGTTTGGTAAACATTACTTAATTCGAATTAAATGATTTAAATCCGACTTAAGAAAATGATGAATTTGCAAACTGAACAGATGAATTGAATGCACCTTAAAATGAGTCACAAAATAACTATAATTAAGGAAGCAAACTGAATGGGTAAGGTCATGTGACATTTATAAATACTCTTTAAAAAAATTATTTGCGATAAAAATACACGCCTAACTTTGAATTCGTATCAATTATCTGATACAAATATTTAAAGTTAAAAAGTTTAATGTTGGATGAAGTTCAACCATGAACAACAAAAGTTTTCGCTTGACTGGACAAAATTTAAGAGTTATCATCATCACAGAACGACGTTTAAATCACTATGAAAAAGGCGTCAATTTCCTTTTTACGGACTGTAAAGTTTTCTTGGGGCTGCTGCTGGGCTTATACGTACAGTTTGCGACGTCCTCGCTCAGAGAATAGCTCTCGACCGAGCTCAGTTTCTCGTCATACTCTTCCTGGATCGCGCGTCGTGCCTATGGGAGTGAAGGGAAGAGCCTATATAGAAATCTGAGTTTATACAGAAAATAGAGCCTATACAGAAAATAGAGCCTATACAGAAAACAGAGCCTATACAGAAAACAGAGCTTATACAGAAAACAGGGCCTATACAGAAAACATAGCTTATACAGAAAATAGGGCTTATACAGAAAATAGGGCTTACACAGAAAACAGGGCCTATACAGAAAATAGAGCCTGTACAGAAAACAGAGCCTATACAGAAAACAGAGCCTATACAGAAAACAGAGCCTATACAGAAAACAGAGCTTATACAGAAAACAGGGCCTATAGAGAAAACATAGCTTATACAGAAAATAGGGCTTATACAGAAAATAGGGCTTATACAGAAACAGGGCCTATACAGAAAGCAGGGCTTACACAGAAAACAGGGCCTATGCAGAAAACAGGGCTTACACAGAAAACAGGGCCTATACAGAAAACAGGGCTTATGCAGAAAACAGGGCCTATACATAAAACAGAGCCTGCACAGAAAACAGGGCCTATATAAAAAACAGGGCCTATACAGAAAATAGAGCCTATACAGGAAACAGAGCCTATACAGAAAACAGATCCTATACAGGAAGCCGAGTTTATACAGAAAATAGAGCCTATACAGAAAACAGAGCCTATACAGGAAACAGAGCCTATACAGAAAACAGAGCCTATACAGAAAACAGATCCTATACAGGAAGCCGAGTTTATACAGAAAATAGAGCCTATACAGAAAACAGAGCCTATACAGGAAACAGAGCCTATACAGAAAACAGAGCCTATACAGAAAACAGATCCTATACAGAAAACAGAGCCTATACAGAAAATATAGCCTAATATAAGCCTATGAGAGTAACAGTAAACAGAGACTGTCAAACTCAAACGGAACACACGATGTTTATTTACGGTATGAATGATTTTGAAGTTGCAATACACTTAAAAATGTAATAGAGATTACAGAGTTCTTAAATGGGAATTGAGGTAACCGCTTTAACTAGATACATATTTCAAACATAAAATAAACAGCTTTGATAATTAGCTTTCCGGTATCTAATGTTATCACTAATCAAATATTACCATTATCAATTGTTTATCCCACAATAATTAATAATTAACTAACATATCAGCAGTGAAAAAACCCTGCTCACTATTTGACAAGATAACCGTGAGATACTAATGAGTGACTACCTCATTAACCAATTACCATTAAGATGAGTAACACCACACATGAAATGTCTCACCTTCTCTCTCTCCTCCTCAAACTTTCTCCTGACTTCTTCTTGCTTCTTCTCGAGCTGTTCTCTCTTCTTCTCGTAAATCTCCGTGAGACGCTGCCGCTCCTGAGTGCCTCTGTCTACCAGAGCCTTGCGCATCTCGCGCTTCATTCTGTTCATCAACATCATCGTAACATTGCTATTACTTAGACATGTTACTTATTTACTACTATATCTTATTATCTTTATAGCGCTCTTATTAAATTATTATTATCAACATCGTCGTAACATTGCTATTACTTCGACAGGTTACTTATTTACTATTATACCTCATTATCTTTCTAGCGCTCCTATAACTATGAATTATCTTCAGATTTCCCATCAAACATCGCGATTACAAACATTGCTTTTACTTCAACTTATTACGCGTTTCCAAAAATTACTTATAATATATTTAACCCTGTTATTAATATCAAATCAGAACCTATTTATCGCACCTCTCGAGCTCGAGCTTGTCGGTGGTGTGCTTGGTAAGAACCTTCCTCTCCTCCCTGAGGTACTCCTCCTGCCTCTTCTTGAGGTCCTCGACGCCGCGGTCGTGTAAGTTCTGAAGGTTCTTGAGCTGTGCGGCCTGCGACAGCTTCAACAGCTTCTCCAGCACCATGTACAGCTGTCATACAGTCGGGAAAACTGTCAGCATGGTCGGCATCATGAGAAAACTGTTAGCACGGCCAGCATCATGTTCCGTAGTGTATTTATATTACAACAATTGTATTACAAAGTAAGTTCAATTTGGTCTGAAGTGTGCGCTCATTGCTACAGTGCAACATTGCAATTGACCAGAATTCTGATTAATTATTAGTCATTTTAATCACTAGCAATTAATTAGTCATTTACCTATTGTTTCAGAGTAACAATGCAACGCTACAATCAAAACGTATTTGCTGTTCCGTTCCGCAGTGACAGCTTAATGTGACAATTAACCTTCAATTTGCATACAAGATTCATTTATTTACAGGAATTCAATTCACGTCTTACAATTTTCCGGCAGACTATCACATGACAATTGCACTTAAGATTAATCTTAATTAATATATTTAATTAATGCTGGAGCAGACAGACCGACTCGTGGTGTTTCTCCTGCAGTTTGCGCTCAAGTTCGAGCTGCTGGCGCAGCAGAGCGTGCAGGGCGGCCTGGTAGCTCTGCGTCACCTCGTGCAGGCGGTGTTGGTGCTCACTGCTTAGCCGCGTCGGGGGACTGCTCTCGTCTCTACGGGTAATGAGAAATGCTATGAACCCTTTAGTGTCGTCTCTACGGTTAATGAGAAGGACGCTTAACGCTTTAGTGTCGTCTTTACGGTTAATAATAAGGACGCTTAACGCTTTAGTGTCGTCTCTACGGGTAATGAGAAGGACTCTTAACGCTTTAGTGTCGTCTTTACGGTTAATAAGGACGCTTAACTCTTTAGTGTCGTCTCTACGGGTAATGAGAAGGACGCTTAACGCTTTAGTGTCGTCTTTTCGGTTAATAAGAAGAGCTCTTAACCCATTAGTGTCGTCTCTACGGCTAATAAGAACTCCTAACCCTTTGGTGTCGTCTCTACGGCTAATAAGAAGAACTCTTAACCCTATAGTGTCGTCTCTACGGTTAATGAGAAGGACGCTTAACGCTTTAGTGTTTGCTGTTAATGTATCAAGCTCATTCGTCAAATGGACAAATATTTTGCCGTTGGTTCCAGGCTATGCTATGACCAAGTGGACGTATAAGTCGCCTCGCAAACTTTAATGTGGCGTTTCGCGCTCGCAATAAAATTAGTCGTTGGGGTAATTACTTAATTTCGCGCTGCAAAATCAGCAGGGGAGTAAGATTTTTAGACGTCAATAATTGCAGTGGTCAAAATAAAAATGATAATTTTTTTCTATTTCGTTGGAGATAAATTTTAAGTGAGTCGTTATAAATTACTAAATGCTAATTACATCGAATAAATATCCATCACATAAACTGAACAAGTAAGTAACAAGGCTAGAAATTCGCAAATTAGGAGTAATCACGATTGCTATATATACTTGCAATGTTACCTACTTGCTTAGCACTCAAGTACTTACATGCTTTTAGTCGATGACATTTTCTTCTCTAGCTTCGAATGTTGCTTCACGAGTTCTTTTTTCTTCTTATCAACGCCGCTAGCCAGTCCTTGTCTCTCTTTCTTGTGTTTCTTATGAATTTCTGAGAGCTCCTTGTCAGTCTTGAGCTTCTTCTCTCTGAAGGTCTTATGAGTACTCAACTTCTCGATGTCCTCGGCCTCTATGACGACAGACTCGAGCGCCGAGCCCGGGAACTCAAGAGAGGATTTTTCTTCACTGCATTTAGTGGTTAATGTGGACTTGTGCGAAACCGAGTTTTGTCTTCGTGGAAGTCCACCACAATCAGGACCTAGACTTGCCGGGATTCCTCCCGGAGCTACTAAAACGTCACCGTTACTACCACCAACGTCAACACCAATACCACTTTTTTCTCCACTTACGTCGCCCGCCGTCACGCCACCACCGCTCGTCACACCAGATGCTTCTCTAAAGCTCGTCACGACGGGTGTGTTTGGTGCACAATTGGCCTCATCGTCGAAATCGTCGTCTTGGAAGACAGAGAGTTGCTGGGCACGCTTCTCGAGCTCGCTCTGATACTTAATAGGGTTCACGAGAGCCTCAGCGAAGTCGCTAAGACCATCGGGCACATAGTCCCGTACTTTAATATACACGAAGAGGGAAGGAAGACCTAGAGGCTGACCAGCCTCATTGCGCAGCACGATGTGCCTGTAGCCTGGTCTTAGGCCCACCAAAGACAAAACCCTGTGACCTAGGAGAGGCTTGCTGCCGGTATCTTCGTACGCTGCGATGCGCAGGGTAGCCAACTCCGGCAAAACGACCTACACGCGTTAAACAAGAGAACGATTGTTGATTACGCTATGAAAACTGAATCGAGAATGCACCTAAAACTGACCATTAGTTGTAGGAACATCCTATATTTAAATCGTAAAGTTACCTGTGGTCCACATATGCGATGCATTCAAGTTCGATCTAACTGTAGACCAAAATGCTTTATCTACGCTTTTTATGTCACTATATTTTTTAAGAAACGATCCTAAATTGCAGTTATTCGATGATCCAGAAATGATCGTGAGCGATTGATCTTGGATCTCCTCCTCCAACACGACGATAGTTAAAAAGGTCCAGGTGGCCATGTTAACAATTTTGCAACGTAGGTATTGGTAGGTAACTATTATAATGACGATCAATTCAATATTGTTTTAGGATTACACATTCAACTACAATCTCTCTTAAAAGACTACGAAAGAATCTTCACCTCACCTTTTTGAAGACGAAGGAATCTTCACCTCACCTTTTTGAAGACGAAGGAATCTTCACCTCGCCTTTTTGAAGACGAAGGAATCTTCACCTCACCTTTTTGAAGACGAAAGAACCTTCACCTCACCTTTTTGAAGACGCAGGAATCTTCACCTCGCCTTTTTGAAGACGAAGAAATCTTCACCTCACCTTTTTGAAGACGAAGGAATCTTCATCTCACCTTTTTAAAGACGAAGGGGTCTTCGTCCCACACAGGGTTGATGCAGTTGTTGGGGACGGTCTTGGTCTTGAAGCGTTTACGGACAGTGTCGGCAGGCAGGCCGTACATCTCAACTTCAACGTAACAGCTCGACCGCTTGTCGCTCAGAAACTGACCCGATATAACCTGCCCAGCGTCCGTTATACATCACAATAATTATATCTTTATTCGACCATTGATCTTGAAGGCTATGTCGATCACGTGTTATGTTATATATTATCCAGACTGTAATAGGTAACTAGAGAAAAAATAAGATGAATATTTCAATTCGAACATCCATTATCTGTTTCCAATGTAGGTATGGATTTTGATTACAGCTGATAAGTGTTTGATTTCGTTAAGCCAGGTAAATTGTTCCCATTTATTCTTAAATAACGGTAATTAGAAGACTGCCAGGTCTTTCATTACCTAGCACTAGAGCAGAGCACAACAAAGCAGCACAAATAGCGGTGTAAAATAATGACTGAATTGCCACCTATAGGAGTCGAGTGATGGGCATGTTTCACAAATAATTGCTGCTCAGCAATCTAAGAAAACGATCTGAGCAAACAAATTAATAAGGATGTGTTAAGCAGGTGCATGAATGAAACAGAAACCGTTCATATCTATTGTTGAAATTCCCTGGTGGAAATCATTCCATAATTCATTGAGATGCTGTACAAACCTTGACAGAAACGGTCCCCGCTATGATGCCGTCTACGGTGCTTTCGGCGAAAGGATCAAATCGTCGGTCAGGACGAATCATGAAGTCAGGTTTTAAGAGATAACCCGACCTGTTGTTGAACTCGAACAGTCCGATGTTAAGTTGCATAGATAAATCTGGGGAATAAACAAACACCACCGGTTTAGAACGGTAATCCAAAATGGTGTTCAAGTCAAAAAGAGAAATTACGGACGGGTTAATTGTCAAGTAGAAATTGGTAATGCTGTAAAAGCGTTTTATAATACTGATGCTCTTATCTATCAGAGTTTGATAGTTACGAATAACCAACTGATAACATCGCCGTTCCTAACTTTACCCCACCCTTAACTAATATCACATTCCTTATCATCGTAAAACTGAAATATTTATTAATATAAGTATTTACGTATTACGTAATAAGAATGTAGGTGTTAAATAAGTAAATATCAATGAGAACTCCGAGGAAATGGCTGTAAGTGATGGCTGTAAGTACGTAAATGACTGTAAGTAATGACTGTAAGTAAGTAAATGACTGTAAGTAATGGCTGTAAGTAAGTAAATGGCGGTAAGTAATGGCTCTAAGAAAGTAAATGGCTGTAAGTAAGCAAATGGCTCTAAATAATGGCTGTAAGTAAGTAATGGCTCTAACTCCCGCTCTAAGTAATGGCTGTAAGTAAGTAAATGGCTGTAAGTAATGGTTGTAAGTAAGTATATAGCTGTAAGTAACTACGTATTAAATAAGTAAATACGGAAGAGAACTGACCGAGAGTCTGGTAGTTGAGAGCGACCAGTTGGCACCCCGCGTTCCAGAACTGATGAGGCAGGAAGTTCGAGGAGTCTACGCGAGTGCCTCTGGGATACACGCGCGCCAACTGCCGCTTGTTGTAGTTAACGAACTCTACGGGGTTCTCCTTCAGCAGGTTCAGGGTCTGGGTCTCCACGAACGAAGACATCTCGTAACTTCGGTTACGCTCTGAAAATTGGGGCTTTTTCACTGGGTGTCACTAGAACAATGACCGATGTAAACTCTGGAAATAGTGACTTTCAGTGGGTGGCACTAGAATAATGACCGATGTAAACTCTGGAAATAGTGACTTTCAGTGGGTAAATAGTGACTTTCAGTGGGTGGCACTAGAATAATGACCGATGTAAACTCTGGAAATAGTGACTTTCAGTGGGTGGCACTAGAATAATGACCGATCTAAACTCTGGAAATGGCGACTTTTCAGTGGGTGACACTAGAACAATGACCGATGTAAACTCTGGAAATAGTGACTTTCAGTGGGTGGCACTAGAACAATGACCGATCTAAACTCGAGAAATGGTGACCTCATCACTGGGTGACACTAGAACAATGATCGATCTAAACTTTGGAAATGATGACTTTTTCTGTAGGTTAGCATCACTCGTTCTATTAAATAGAACAGTGATATTATTAAACAAATTGGTTCGATTGATGATATTCCGATTAAACTAACATTAGCGTTATTAAGATAGCAAAATAATAATAATAAAGCATGACTCACTCTCGGCCACCTCAAAGGAGTGGAAGTGCACAGGTTGGATGTAGTTCACGAGCTCGGATATCTCAGCGCCCGCCTCCACCTCCTCGCTCGCCGTGTCCTGAGATCAAGTGAATTACATATATTCTTACAGAGCATTATAATTCGCAATAAATAAAATAATTAGTAACTAAGATACTACTCTTACTCTCAGAATTATGAATCACGAGGACTCACTCGGCTGGCTTATATATTTACTGCCGTTAAAAAGCTTGCATTTTGTTTCAATGCTAATTTTACAACTTATCCTATAGAAAAATAACAATAATTTCAGTTCTATTTTGTTTTGTGATGAATGACAACATCGTGTTGTGGTGAACGGGAGCCATCATCGCCACCAGCACTGAAGATATCATCGTCCCCATCATCGGCATGGCCTCACCTTGGTCTGCGCGCGTCTGTCCTCAGGGGAGGCGCCAGGCTCGTCGTCATCGTCGCTGCTGGAGCTCTCCAGCGCCTCCGCCTCCACTGCTCAGAGACACGTCGTTGTAACGGGGACGTGTGACGTGTGTGACGTGTGTTGCGTGTACGTGTGGCGAGCGGGGACGTGTGGTGTGTGTGTGGCGTGTGTTGCGTATGGGTGGCGTGTGTGACGTGTGTGGGGCGAGCGGGGACGTGTGTGACGTGTGTTGCGTGTGTGGCGGGTGAGAAAGTTAGCTCGGTGACATTTAGATATGATACACTTACATGCAGAATAAGACAAACACTTCAATAAACCAGAATTCTTAACATTTCTAAAGCATGTAATAAATTAAGGAAAAAGTAATAATGTAACGCTAGGCTATGTGCAGAGGTACGGGTATGCGGGGGCTGAATAAATTTCATCATTGCAAGATTTTATTATTATAGTCATTCATCATGAATTGATACAATATTATTGTGATGATGTTGTAGCAATTATATTTATAAAATATTAACCCATATTAACCTACAAGATTTATAATGATGAAATGATATGGTGAATGATGAAATGTTTCCCATGATCAGGAGTCACGTATCATGCTTGTGTACGGGAAGGTATATAATAGTTGTTGTGAACGCAACATTTGCTTTAGAATAGTAGTTTAATTCCGTGGTCTTGCTGAACATTTTCTCTCATTAGTCACCTGTCGGCTGCGCAGTACAGACCAAACTTTATTCAGGAACGAATTTTGGTGAGCTTAGTTCTCTTGTTTGAATATTTCTTTGCCGTTTAGAAAGCCTTGGTTATTTACTGTAATGTTTAATATTTGCGAATATTGTTTATATATTCAATGACCTTTTGTTTGTTTTAGTTTGAATTTTTGTATTTGTACTGGTTTATTTCCAGAAACCGTGTCATCTGGGATTATGAAGAAAAAGAAAGAAACCTGATGCACGCGTATTCAATTAATCCTGCCTTAGATAAAAGTTGCGCTGAAAAGCACTAAATAGTCCGCAACAATAGTGATGGTGATATTGTGCAATGCTGGCCACTAACATGCGTTGCCACTAATGGGATACAGAATTCGAATCTCATTTGTTTGTATTTACAGTATTTGAATTTAAAGTGATAGAAGTGCAAGTATATTTACAGTTTTAGCTTGTACAGTATTTCAAATTTACAGCGCTTCATAAGATCCAATTACAACTCACATAGCAAGGGAAATAAATTGAAAATAACGACAACGCAAATAACGAAATTGAAAATAACGACAACACTACAATTAAGGTTGATACATTCAAGAACCGACATTTGTTGCGGTCGGTATAAACCATTCATTTTCTAAAAATTATGCAGCTGATCCTCAAATGAAATGTGACTCGAAACATCATATAATTTAGTTTTTGCACTAATTTAATACATGCACTGTCTCCATGCGTGATTCTACTTTACTGAGAATTCTGTTTTAAGACTCCACTTTATTACAATTATTATCGTTATTTACATATACTCTATAGCCGTGCAAACTTCATCTCTTATGACGCTTAATTTAAAGTGCTTTCTCAATCTACATTGCCACGGCATTTTCTAAGCCATATTTATTTTTGACAGGGTTTTATTTAAGGAACATAACTTTGTCTATTATAACGATGCATTAAATATGTCTCCCCATTGTATCGAGCAAATTAATTTAAATTATCTGCATTTAAAACGCTCCTTAATTAAATAAACCTTAATAATATGTCGCTACTTCAGTACATACAACTAACTAATAAATATTTATCTGATTACGCTTTAGTACATGTGGCGTCTCTATTTATCTTATTAGACACACTACATTCATCCATGATGAAATTTTTTAGCCTATGCCAAATTTTTTAGCAAAAAAAACACAATTTCGCAGTAAGCCAATGAATTACTTCAACATAGTTTTGCCTACTCTTCAGGATAATTTAAAACATACCTCAATAATCAATATGTCTGATTTTTATCTTTCTATTATTTTTTCTCGTTTCGATTACTTCATGAAAAAGTAATGACTTAAAACACGAGTTAAGAAATGTAATTAAAGTTCACCAACGCTCCTCAGAGAGAAACTTTGTAAACTTAACGTCAAAATTTTCAATAATCCACACAGAAATCTCTGACCTAAAAACAATTTATAGCGCATTTTCTCGTTTATGGATAAAAATGCGCTATTTATAGTTATATTTTTTTCATTTTCTCTGCAACTAAACCATATTTTTTTCATGGCACTGAAAATTCCTCAATTCCTCAGTAAGTATTTATTCCATCTCTTTTTCGCTTAAATTAGAGCTGATAGATAAAACCCATAATTTATGCCCAAATATAAAAGGAAGCTGCTAAGAAAGCACCGACACTTTACACAGTCACTATTTATGTTACGAATCAAAAAGTTTACTACACTAGCACACAAAAGACTTCCTCCGTAACTACTACGTAATTCAAGTCTCACCCAAAGTCCTGACATTGAGATGTGGAAAGGCTGGAGATCGGAGGACAATATAGTATATCAGTCAAGTATATTCTTAACGTTCAAGTACATCTGCACATTGAAGTACAATCCGAACATTCGTGCACACTCTAAACATATTCCTGACACATCGCAGGGAACATGACGACTGCCGTCCATTAGTGCAGGAATGGAAATGATCAGTGAGAAAGACAATTTAGTGATAAAAATTCCACCTATAATATAATTTCAGCTATATTTCAGTTATATGTAATTATGTATATGAATATGTATCTGAAAAAATATATAACTGAAATTATACAATAATTTCAGTTATAAACATATATATTTGAGATACGAGTTTCTCAATAAAATGTGAATTGTAAAAATGATAGGAAAGCTGGTAAATGTTTTCTTGTGTTGTAAGTTTGGGAAAGCGAAGCAAGCAAGACAGAATTGCTTAGGTTTAGCGGAGTTTGTGAGATGCAGAAAATTTCGAAAAATTTACGAAAATGCAGATAGGAAAAAATTTAGCTCCAGTCATCTTGACAGTTTGTTTCTTAAAAATATAAATAATGACAAAGAAATTTTGCTTACAAAATCAGCAGCAGCATTACAGCTCTTAAAAAAACAACTCCAGACAAAGAGTAGCTCTCTAATGAACAGGAATAGAAATGACAAACCAAATCCAATACTGAAATAAAAACATGCTATGTAAATAATATAGATTATATAAATTAACTCAAAGAAATACAAGGACAAAAAGACAGCATTCAGATAGAATTACGAACAAAAGAAGAAAATGAAATAAAAGAATATCGAGCCTGAATTTCAAGCGGAGGCTTCAGTTGAAGTCACTCCTGAGCAAATATTTATTTGGAAGAGAAGATGGCGAAAACATACGCCTTTTTTCTATCACAAAAAAATCTAACATTCACGAAAGATTTCACAATTTGTTCGGCTCAGCGTATAAATATGTCAGCAAGAGCAAGGTGAGTGTCAGGATTCTTAAGGAGCTCAATTTTTTTTACGTTTATCGGCCACCATATTCACTCTTTGATGTAATAACTAAATGATTTGATCCCAAAAACATAGCGTGAAATAGAAAATCTTATCAGCACGGCTACATTATCTTTCCCTAGCAAATATATTTACATAGTATATCGCCTTCCCTATTGATATTTACTAACCAAAAATCGCCAAACTAATTGATGCAATAAGCCTGTAACGCACATATAGTTTAATTACTGGTCAAAGACACTAGGGTTAAGCCCCGCCCTCACCACTAGGGTTAAGCCCCGCCCTCACCACTAGGATTAAGCTCCGCCCTCATCATTAGGGGCAAAGCCCAGTCAAGTCCCGCCCTCACCACTAAGGTTAAGCCCCGCCCTCACCACTAGAGTTAACCTCCGCCCTCACACTAAGGTTAAGCCCCGCCCTTACCACTAATGTAAAGCCCCGCCCTCACCAGTAAGGTTTAGCCCCACCCTTACCACTAAGGTTAAGCCCCGCCCTCACCACTAGGGTTAAGCCCCGCCCTCACCACTAGGGTTAAGCCCCGCCCTTACCACTAAGGTCAGCCCCACCCTCACCACTAGGATTAAGCCCCGCCCTCACCACTAGGGTCGTCGTGGTCGCCCTCAGAGCTGTCACGCGACGTTGCCTTCTGCAGGGGCGGACGCGGTGCCTCGCCGTTGCCAGGGGCGCTGCGAGCTGGGGTGCCCCCGGCAGATGTAGCGTCGCCGCTATCGCTCTACGTAACGACATCGCGTTATATTCCAGTACGTTACAGAGGTCATTACATGTTACAACAGACATGAATTTACAACGAATTATTGTTAACAGTTAACAGAGAATTTGCCCTTAAAGTGAAAAACTGAAATAACCCCGCATTATTTCAGTTATGAAACCCAGGCTCGGGTCGCGTGTGGCTCTACAAAGAAATTCGTAATAATATTTATGATTCTGCAGAGAACAGAAACCATTTGGTATGCTTGGATAGTCCATTGTTGGTTGACTGTTGAACATTGCGATATTTCAAACAACAGTCAATATTGAATTGATTTGAATATCATTTGAGGATACGTGGAACATTGTAAATCTATAAAAAATGTAGAGTCTAATTTAAAGCTGATTTTCGTAAAAAACATGGCTGTACGTTAACCATTGTTTGGCATAGGATATAAAATATGAAAGAGGAAATTAAAAAATCATAATTGTTCATTAAAGCTAAATGTAAGTTAGTGTTACCGTCGAACAATTTTGGCAAACAATGTTAGGCATTGGTGAATGTTGTGAATATAAAACATTCAATATTGTTTGCATGATTCTACATTATCAGAAAAAGATACATGTGTTATGATGTACAGTATATTTCACGTACAGGGTCAGGCAACTTATCAGTATTACAGTTGTACTCTGTTCACTGTACAGAATATATCACGTACATAACACTGTACACATATATATGTATAATATATATAATATATATATAAAACACTGTACACAGTACAATTGTATACTGTAACATCTCACGTACAGCACAAGGCAAGTTATCAGTATTACAGTTGTACACTGTACAGTATATCTCACGTACAGGGTACAGCTCGACATGGAACTGCGTCTCGCCCACACCGACGCCGACGCCGATGGCAGCACCGATGCCGGCGCCCACGTTACCGCCGCCCCTGGCGTCCTTCTTCTTGTGGGTGCGATGCTTCTTCTTGTTCTTGATGAGGATCTTGCGCTTGAGGTGACATGGTGGGGGCAGGTGTGTTCCGGGGGACAGCTGCATGCGGGGCGATAATGGGTCAATAACGGGGGAATAATGGGTGAATGATGGGTGGATAATGGGTGAGTAATGGGTGGATGATGGGTGAGTAATGGGTGAATGATGAGTGAATAATGGGTGAATGATGGGTGAATGATGAGTGAGTAATGGATGAATGATGGGTGGATGATGGGTGAGTAATGGGTGAATGATGGGTGGATGATGGGTGGATGAATGATGGGTGGATGATGGGTGGATGATGGGTGAGTAATGGGTGAATGATGGGTGGATGATGGGTGGATGAATGATGGGTGGATGATGGGTGGATGATGGGTGAGTAATGGGTGAATGATGGGTGAATGATGGGTGAGTAATGGGTGAATGATGGTGGATGATGGGTGAATGATGGGTGAATGATGGTGGATGATGGGTTAATAACGGGTGGATGATGGGTGGATGATGGGTGAATGATGGGTGAATGATGGTGGATGATGGGTGAATAATGGGTGACTGATGGTGGATGATGGTGGATGATGGTGGATGATGGGTGAATAATGTGAATAATGGGTGAATGACGGATGAATAACAGGAGAATAACGGATGAATAGAGATCAAAAGCTTCCTGTTTTGACTATCAAAATGAAGAAAAAAAAGCTTCAGAAATAGAGCTCAAAGGGTTCAACCGCAGACGACACCAGGTTCTTGCAGACGAGAGTATCGCAAATCAAGATAAGGTAATTTATATTACTTCAAGATTTGGAAATAAATCATTAGTTTAACTAAGACTAACTGCATCGAATGAAAAGACAAATTACTGCATAATAATCGTATACAATTTCAAAACTTGATTTCATTAGTTTGAACATAATTAGACGTAAATAGAATTAATCCATCATGCATTATCGGCCGCCTGTTCTCCCAAAGATGAAATTCAACGAGACCTTCAAGGTGATAGGATTATAGGAACTAAGGTGGCTCCCATCCCCAATTTTGGGATTGAACGGCATCAATCGACCACTTATGTGATGGTCAGAAAGCTAAACTAGTGCAGTTTGCTGATGAACAACGTCTTAGTCAACAGGAGCACATGTCGAATAGGTGATAAAATATACTTGACTTGTTCTTCACGAAAAATGAAGAAATGGTTGCTTAAGCCCGGGTTGAATAAAAGTGGTGCATTTGGACTTTGCGAAGGCTTCCGGTAAAATTGGCCATGACTCTTTCTTCGAAAAATTAGAACTACTGAGGATCGGAGGATATTTATTGGCATGGATCCACAACTTTCAAACCGACAGACTACAGTTAAGGTGTCGTTGCTAAAGCGAACCGACTGAGAATAGTGGAGTAACACAGGCAACGGTGCTTAGTAAGATTCTCTTTCTCCTCCACATTGCCGATATGGACATTGAAGTTAGCTACGCCGCGTCATTGTTATCTAGACATAAAGGTACTGACAACGATTTTGGAATAAGCGGAGAGGTAGCAAGAAGACTCGTCTGTAATATATGACTGGATCCAAGGCTAGTCTGACTGGAGCCAATACTGGTCTGCAATATATGACCGAACCCAAGTGAAAAAAACATGTAATTTATCGGTAGGACGGTAGGAGGTTCTGAGATATAGAGCTAACAGAGTGAAGATGAGTACTATAGTCAAGTTAAGTGATCACATAGCCTCAATACTGCGTAAAGCAAGCGACGGATTGGGTAAGCGCGACGGCGAACCTTCATTTCTACGATTAGCGGGATGGAGTAGCTGAACTACTATGGTAGGCTGGAGCGCCTGAGTCTGTACTCACTGCAGAGGAGGCGAGAATGGTATGTCTTTCTGCGCATATTATAAAATATAACCGGACTGGCCCTTACTTCGAAAGTGAGACTTTCATGATTGACATACCATACCATGTCATGAGGCATACCATAACGAAAGAAGGGGGAGGAGGTGAATACCCCTACCCACCCACCGGGTACGCCTCTAGTGGCCCTACCCACCCACCGGGTACGCCTCTAGTGGCCCTACCCACCCACCGGGTACGCCTCTAGTGGCCCTACCCACCCACCGGGTACGCCTCTAGGGGCCCTACACACCCACCGGGTACGCCTCTAGGGGCCCTACCCACCCACCGGGTACGCCTCTAGGGGCCCTACCCACCCACCGGGTACGCCTCTAGGGGCCCTACCCACCCACCGGGTACGCCTCTAAGGGCGTGTCGAGCAGCATGTCGCCGAAGAAGTCCCTGCAGTACTGCGCGATCTTGGCCTGCTGCCGCGGGTTGCAGTGGTTCTCGAACGACAAGATGACAGGCCAGTCCGACGTCTTGAAGGCAGATTCCGCTATGGCTTCCAGCACTTCCTGCAAACAGTGATGAACAATTAATATTTAAACAATAATATTTCGATGCTGAGATGAAGATAGATTCATAGCGTAATTGCGTGTGAACCTCTAGGATAGGTTATGTAGACTAGAATCTGAAAGATTTGGGACAATTCGCCAAAACTTTTTGACAGACTCTGATGTCTGACAGACTGATGTCTTTTTGACAGACTCTGTTATGGTGTTTAATTCCCACATGAACATCTTGTGAACTTGTGATTAAATGAAGATGTAAGTGATCGGGAATGCAGATAATTGTAATGAGGATGATCACTAAATGTATGAAATTGAAATTAATGGGAGACAGGCCAATAAGCATGTACAGTTCTTCTTGCACAAGCAACATGCACCGTGGCCCAAACCAAACGCAAGTACTACATATCTTGGCACTTATCTCAAGATAATCACATACTTCAGAAATAGACCCAAGTTTCACGTATCTCGGTATTTATTTGGCACGAGCACCACGTACCTTAGCACTTATCTCAGGCACAAGCATCACGTACCTTAGCACTTATCTCAGGCACCAGCACCACGTACCTTAGCACTTATCTCAGGCACGAGCGTATAGCCGTGCACCACAATAGGCTCGTCTATCCTGCCGTTCCAGAAGTCGAGTTCGACGCAGCGGCAGCCTGCTAGCAGACACTGCCTGTACATCTCCACTGACGACCTGCCAGTCAGCTGGTGACCTGCAATGACAGGTGCTCTTAACCTTCAGTCATCGAATAAGATCTGCATAAGCGATCTGCCAGTCAGCTGGTGACCTGCAATGACAGGTGCTCTTAACCTTCAGTCATCGAATAAGATCTGCATATACGACCTGATAGCCATGTCAGGTACCTATGAGGTAGGCTATGTGAGGTTGAATAAAGTAGGTAATAAGAAACATGTATTATGCGTAGAAGTTAAGAATGTTAAGAATGCGGATAGAAGCGATGTAGCCAGTGTGTAAGACGTGGTTGTTTCGAGACCGTGGGAACGAATTAGTTTACATCGAGCGTTGGCGAGCTCAGCGCGAGGGAAATTACAGTCTAGGAATGCGGCGTCACTTCGAGGGATAGGTTTACAGTGTGGGCGAGACCAGCGTATATAAGAAACCTAAAATTGGCGCCAAGGGTTGGCGCGAAACGTCGAGTCATTCATATCACCGCGTTCCCGATATAAAAACTTCAAAAAATTATCAAGCATCGGCCACGACTTCGCCATAGATGCACGGTCAACATCATTGCTACGGCTGTGCCTTAACCGTGAGACAACGTGATGGACAACATGACATCCAACGATATAAACGCCGTCATCAGAAGATTCAAGTTTTCGAGCTCTGAGCAAGAATAATCATCGGTACGGTCATCAGCACCGTACGGTCACAGTTCTCATCAGAAGAAACGATACGGTCACAACCATCAACCGCAGTAAACCTAAAAGAAACCTACGGCCAGACTGACCGTGAGACATCTAGTCTGTCAGCGAGACACGACGGTTAGGAAGAAAAGTTACGCGGCTACAGCTGAGGTACGGCCATTCGGAATACGGCTGCAAACGTGCGCGCAAGTTACGGTCGTTAACAACTGTCGTCTACTCAAGGGAACTGCAACGGATTAAGGTTTCCTGGTAAAAAGAGTGATTTTAGTGATGTAAACTGATAGGTTCTCAATTTTTATTGTATCACTTTATATTTTTTATGTTCTAAAGATTTTTTTGTTAACGCAGGATGTTAACTTGAATTTCGCAATTTAATATAAAATGTAGCAGTGCTACATTACAACTTTTTCTCTGTACTATTTTTGCCGTAACCTATTCATACGAGGACCTATATTCACGTGCTTGTAAGCCACTTCGGACCAATCTGACGAAATTAAAGCGATTGCCGATATTAAAAGTATAATAATAGAAAAGTCCCAAAACTACTTAACATAAAAGCTTTATTTCGTAATCAAGGTACCTATGAGGTAGACCATGTGAGGTACCTATGAGGTAGGTGTTATGTGAGGTACCTATGAGGTAGGCCATGTGAGGTACCTATGAGGCAGGCCATGTGAGGTACCTATGAGGTAGGCCATGTGAGGTACCTATGAGGTAGGTGTTATGTGAGGAGTTGATGAAGTAATGAGAGAGCGGCTTGTCCATGTCGTGGCAGAGGTCGAGCTTGTCCCTGGCGATGATGATGTTGTCGTCGCTCAGGATGTAGTTCAGGAAGCCCTCGCAGCTCAGCACATCTGAAAAATAAGAAATTTTTTAAAAATAAAAAATACAAAATTCAATTAAAGGAATTACAGTAATATTGCACAGGCGTCAGCGCAGATAAAACCATAAAAACTTGAATTCGGCCACTGTAAAGAGCTCGACTATCGAATGATTCAGAAAACAGTGAGAACTACACAGAGAAAGTTCATTAAACTAAACATAAACATAAAAGCTCTGAATTTTGCACAGGGGAGCTTAGCACACCGCACGGTAATCCCAGTATTATGCACAGTGACGCCCAGTACATCGCGCAGTAAATCCCATTTTTATGTGCAGTGGCGTCCAGTACATCGCGCAGTAATCCCAGTATTGAGCGCAGTGGCGCCCAGTACATCGCGCAGTAAACCCCATTTTTATGCACAGCGGCGCCCAGTACATCGCGCAGTAATCCCAGTATTATGCGCAGTGGCGTCCAGAACATCGCGCAGTAATCCCAGTATTGAGCGCAGTGGCGCCCAGTACATCGCGCAGTAAATCCCATTTTTATGCACAGCGGCGCCCAGTACATCGCGCAGTAATCCCAGTATTAGGCGCAGTAAGCCTGAACCCAAACGAGTTATCGAGTAGCGCCGGCAGTTGCGTTGCTCTCTTCAGTTGTGCGCTTCTCTTTAGCTTTGCTTCCCACCAGACATCTGACGCAGATGCAACGTTTGTTCGTTAAATCAAAGGATAATTCAACGTTTATTTGTTAAATAATGGTTACTTAAACCAAATTAAATTTTGTTTCAACGCCATGTGCCTTGTGCATGGGTTTAAGTGGCGTCAGCACCTGCAGTAGCAACGGCTGCTGCTCCAGCAAAGGCGTAACATGTCCGTAGATTTGTAGGGACTGAAGGAACATTGAATTGCGGTGACCTGGGTAGCCACAGTGCGCAAATAGAACAGCTCCACTTTTGGCAAGAGGAGATAAAACCTACATTTATTGCGGCATCCTTTTAACTCGGCGCCATAACGTGGAAACTTTCACAGGAAATGAGCCGAAATAAGGACTGTGAAATCGAGCAGACATAAAAAGAAATTGGGGTTCCCGTAGAGATGAGAGCAAATTCGGTCGTAAAATTGTCCAAACGATAAATAAATAGAAGATTATAGAGGATACGAGTGTTAAAGGCACTTCAATATAGCGTAAACGGACAATGAATTGTACGAATGCAAGAATGTTAAAGTCATTACACGAAAAATCCCATTAATGAAGTAGCCAAAGTTCTGTACAATTAAATCATGAAAAATCTCATTACATCAACATAATTCCCTTACAAATAAACTAAAAATAAAAATAACAAATAAAATACTGCACAACTAAATTATTGCAAAGCTAATTTCTATCAAACTTCAAGCAATCTTTGTCCTAAAACAAATGTTCACAGCTTCAATTCAGCACTAATAAATCATAGCAAAGTTCACTCCTGGCAATGTTCTCCTTAAAACAAATGTTCACAGCTTCAATTCAGAACAAATAAATAATAGCAAAGTTCACTCCTGGCAATATTCTCCTTAAAACAAATGTTCACAGATTCAATTCAGAACAAATAAATAATAGCAAAGCTCACTCCTGGCAATGTTCTCCCTAAAACAAATGTTCACAGCTTCAATTCAGCACTAATAAATCATAGTAAAGCTCACATTTATCAAACTCTCAGCATAGTTCTCCTTAAAACAAATGTTTATACAGCTTCAATTCAGCACTAATAAAAGATAATAAAGCTCACTCCTGGCGATGTTCTCCTTGGCAGGCTCGTACTGCAGGATGACCTGACGGGCCCGCGCCGCGTCGGCGTAGGGGTAGAGGATCTCGTTGAGGCGAGGGTCGCGCTGGTAGTCGTTCAGGAACGCTACGAGCTCCTTAGCCTCCATGGCCTTAGCGGGCTTACGGTGACTCTGGCTTGTACTGAATATCAGTGAATACAAGAGAAATTAGTATTATTACGGTGGCTCTGGCTTGTGCTGAATATGAGTGAATACAAGAGAAATTGGTATTATTACGGTGACTCTGGCTTGTACTGAATATCAGTGAATACAAGAGAAATTAGTATTATTACGGTGGCTCTGACTTGTGCTGANGTATAAGAGACAGGCTCTGGCTTGTGCTGAATATGAGTGAATACAAGAGAAATTGGTATTATTACGGTGACTCTGGCTTGTGCTGAATATGAGTGAATACAAGAAAAATTGGTATTATTACGGTGACTCTGGCTTGTGCTGAATATGAGTGAATACAAGAAAAAAAGGGTACGAGTTTGAGTGAATCCGAGAGAAAAATTGGTATTAGTTATGAAAAAACTGAATTACCACTATTAAGGAAGTGATAACGGAAAATTACTTGTTGATTTGTAAAATATGATTAATTATTGCTGCATGTTGGCAATGGGGATAATAACAGTAATACAATCATATGGAAGGAACAAGACATGAAAAATAATGAAAATGAACTAATTGCAAAAGATGCTTTATGAGATTTGATTGGAGAAAATTTAAAATGGAGTGGCGTATTGCTTTATAATCCGCAATTTACACTATAAAAATTTTTTGCTCTGGAAGTGAAAAAGGATTCAGTGAGTTCAAAATTATACTTAGTTTTGGAAATCGAAAACTTTATTACTCTTGTTGCGTTCGGCCAACAATTTCAACAACAACAAATTTTCTAAAATGCAGAGCCACAAGCAAATTAAAGCCAGTAAGAATAAAAATATTTCAATATAAGACGATATAAATATCTAAATAAGAGCGAGGCTTCTAGCATCTTTACTTACAGTTGACAGAAAATTTTTTCAACTTCGACACGCGACGTGAGTTTCCTGTAGAACTCGAGGAACACTTCGAACGTAAACTGGCTCACGTCCACCGACTTGTTCTGGCAGCAACAAGAAAAAGTTTTGTTAAGAAAATGAATTCTAAACATTTTATTGGTGATCACCGATATCACTGGGAATTAATTGCAGTCACTGAGATTTGAGGATACTTTAAACGTATTTCCTGCGATGATATTAGCTAAAATAATAAACTAAAGTAATGATAATTGTATAAGAACCTTTAAAACCTTAGTTTTAAGAAGGAATCTCATCTAACGTCAGGATTTAAATTTTAAATAAGGAAGCATTCATTTAAATTTTTTTTTCTAAATTTTAAGACAAGAACACATCATACAAGCCATACATCCAACACAGACATCATACAAGACATCCAACACAAACATCATACAAGACATCGAACACAGACATAATACAACAGATCCAACACAGACATCATACAACAGATCCAACACACACATCATACAAGACACAGAACACAACTCGCCAGTCCCGCGTTTTAGAACATGCATTTAATATCAAGAGGCACGTTCTGTGAGGTGAGGTGCTGTCCTATGCAGCGCTAACTTCTGTTGCAGGACAACTTAATAGCATTGAAATGAATTCATGGTAAACTTTATCCACGTCTATGCTGCTGCAGCCCAACTTCTTATCGTTGGAAATACACTCAAGGTAAACTTAATCCTTACCTTTACTGCTGCATACCAACTGGATAGCAATGAAAATACACTCAATATAATCTTTATCAACATCAATTCAGCTCCAGGACAACTTGATAACGATGGATATACACCTGTCTGTCTTTCATATCAATCGTGGGTGTTATGATGTAGCGTAGTGGACAAACTGTGGATGTTTCATGATTGTGCGCTATTATTGTTCGTATTACGGTTATGCTGGGGTTAAATCGTGACAAACCTTGCCGGTGGGGAGACCTGACTGTTCCAGCGCGTGTTCCACTCTCTTCTTGTCGTCTGCATGGCGAGCGAACACTCGCACGATACTGAATACAGAAACACATAAATTATAATTATCCCATTCACACATCATACACACATCATACAAGTCCGTTGAGAAAGACACAGCACAGCTGAAAATTGAAAATTGGTAAAATTTAGGTGCATCATCTACATTAAAAATGTTGGTTATATGATGTCATTAAAAGCTAAATAGTAAGTTTCTTTAGATTGAGTGGTGACAAGAGCGTGACTGATGTTCAGAGCCATGAAAAGGCCGGTTGCGTCTATTATCTGTTTAAGTTAAAACCTGGATTGTTTTCACTCAGTGTAGGACCAGCGAGATATGAACGGCTGGCCAGTAATTACGGAACTTTTCGCTAACTTGACTGCGCAGCTCTGAACAAACGCGTGACCAGCGTCCCAAAGGCGAGGATTTTGGCAGCGCTTTGCACAAAAAATGCAATCCTTCGAAATACAGAAGTGAAAAATTATCTCTGATATTATAGCTGGGAACGGCGGAGTCAAAATTGAATCAAAATTATCAAATTAAAGTTTATTCAAGCAATACGAAAGTGATGAGTCAGAAAAAAATGGATCATAGATCATCGCTTGTGGAGCGCTGGATCAACTGTAAAACTTAAAATCTACTGTTAATGATAATATCAAAATTCTCTAATAACATAAGAGGGGAAAACTTCAAGATTAAGAGTTCCAAATCAGCTAAAAATAATAAATAAATAAATTCTAAGAGTATCGCAAGAACACAAAACACAAACTAACGTCAATGCCACTTCAGTCGCCACTCATCAGAAACTGAACATACCTATAGCCACTCGTCAATAAAAACCACATAATACTGGTCAGAACCATGATTTGTAGGGTTCCATAACCACATGATGACTACAAAGCTGTTTTAGTCACGCTAGAAAGATGCACTTCAGTTTTGTTTAGAAAATATTTTTTTATATTTGAGACTGGCGAATTGATCGAGTGCTGCTGGCGAGGTTAACGACATTAACTGCAGCTGAAATTAATCACATATTATTGACTATAGGAAGTAATGACGAGCGAGATAAGTGTTATACCAACGTAACAATATACTAACTTTTTAACAGGGATCATGCCGTTCTTGTCCTTGCTTATGACGAGTTTGGTGTGTGCCTTGCGTAGGTTGTTAGCGGGGGACGAGTTCAGCGCCAGCAGATTGTAGGCCATCGACATGATCGCATCCGCCCACAGCTGCCGGATAAACGGTACATACTTGAATATATAACTCAGTACTCACTGCAGTGAGTGACAGAGAGCGCGTTTTCTCGTCGACGAAAACGTGAGGTCACGGACGGACAGACAGACGGACGGACAGACGGACGGACAGACGGACGGACAGACGGACGGACAGACGGACGGACAGACGGATAATTAAGGCGAGCACAATAGTGAATTTTTTCATAAATGAGAAAATGCGCTAAAAATATAACTCAGTACTCACTGCAGTGAGTGACAGAGAGCGCGTTTTCTCGTCGACGAAAACGTGAAGTCAAGGACGGACAGACAGACGGACGGACGGACGGACAGACGGACATGGCGAGCAACATAGTAAATTTTTTCATAAATGAGAAAATGCGCTAAAAACGGGGTCGCTGATAAACGGTACACACTTTACGGGGTCGCTGATTTTAATTGGGGAATTGGTGAGAAAACTTAGTAATTTTTAATTTCAATTGAGAAATTAAGACTTTTTACTTTGAGAAAATTTGTTACTTTTTTAGTTGAGAAAATTTGCTACTTTTTCAATTGGTAAAGTTGGTTACTAATTTTTTTTAATTGAGAAAGTTGTTTGCATTCCAAATTTTAATAGAGAGATCAGTATAATTTTCAATATCAATTGGGGAATAAGTTATTTTCTCAATTGAGAAAAGTGGTTACTTAGTTTTTAATTGAAGATTTCGTTACTTTTCTTATTCAAATGAGAAATTGGTTTGAATTTTTTATTTCAATTGAAAAATTTAAGTTAACCTTGAATTTCAATTGATGCTTCAGGCTATTTATTTATTGAAATTGAAAAAAATATGTTACTTCTTCACTTATATTGAGAATTAAGTTATTATTACTTTACACGAAGATACAAAAAAACTATATTTTGATAGTGCAGAATCATTTGAGAATATTTTTCTGAAACAGAGAAGCCGCGTAAAAATTGTCCCAGCGTTGCAGACGAAAGCTAAATAATATAATGTAGAATTCTTGACACAAATATCAAGAAAATTTATACACTTACAAACCCAGCAGGATAATTATCATATTTATCATAATAATTATCTGCACGAAAACAAACTTCAATCCAGCGAATTTGATAAGAAACGCAATTCCGGCTCAGACTTAATTCAAGGAAGCATGCAATGCAATATGAACAAAGATATGAAAGATATGAATATGTTCCACAACATTGGCTTCGCGTACTTCAATCACGTTCAACCCAATTATAAAGAAAAAAGTTCAATCACCATGCAATGCTCGAAAAGTTCCTGTTAAAGCTTACCCACTTAGCCACAGAAGCTTTTTAAACACGAAAGTATTAATAACTGAAAATGCTTGGCAGCACAAACCAAACTATTCAAAGGAAAGGTAAAATCGACGCGCAATTAATGTTTCATTTCCGCTTTCTCAAAAGCACGTAATTCTCTCTTAAGAAAAATTGCCATCTTGCTCAATGAGACGAGGACGCCGCAAAGTCATGTAAAAACTATTCTTCTTCCAAGAAAAACCCTCAGGCTTGCCACACTGCTGCTAGGGCACTGCATAGTTCTCTAAAAACCCTTTCGCTGCTGCTATATATACAGGATGCTGCATGGTTCTATAAAAAAACCCATTCCCTTCCAAGAAAAAAACCACCGGTTTGCCACGCTGCTGTCAGAACGCCGCATGATATTTTCCAGAAATATTTCCCTTGCAAGCCAGAACCCGCTGGACAGCCGCCCCTTAAGGCAGAGGCATCACACAGCCCCGACAACGGGGAGGCAAATGCAATGAAGTTAATGAAGGCTGCGACTTGCATCCCCAAAATAGCGCAGATTGCAGCGGCTCTCGCGGTCTGTATGGAGAAGCTTTGTTCTCTGGGGACGCGGCTAGCCTCATACCGGCGTAATATCACTTCTTAAGGGCGATATTGCGCGCTGTGTCAAGAATTACATGTCATGGCAGTAGCCATCTTTACGGAGTAGTTCTTAACGCGCATCTAACGGAGCTAATGTGTTGACGAGCCCTGAACTGTGCGCAGAGGGAGGAAAAAACAGAAATAATACAAGAAAGCTAATAAATATATCCATAACGTTGTAATTACTATATGCATATAACAGAGTTCTGTCGGGAGTACACTATTTTTTTGTATAGCATGGGACACCCAAGAGACCAGTTATCTGCCGCCCCGCGTGTTGTTTTTAGAAAACCCCAAGCCAAATGAAGCTTAACGGTTCTGTTATTATGCGTGCTTCTTCTATTCATCTTTTTGTTTTATGTTACTCAGATGCATTTCAATTGCATTTACCACGACCCACAGATATTTTCTGTTTTTGCATGGTAGTTTTGTTTCGTATCTTGAGTAACATCATATAACAGGTCCATTTCTTATTATCAAGTAGTATACTAAGTAATATACTCATCATTAAGTAATTAGAGATGTTTTGAGTTATTAGCAAAAATTAAAGAGTATGCCTGCCAGGCATATTTGAGCAGGATAATACAAAAAATACATGAAAATATTTCACACAAAACGAATATACTAACATGAAATCATAGACCTTCGTTTTACAGGACCTGGTTTTGGTATGCAAGTGTACAGAATTGTTTGTGTGCTAAAAGTTTAACTTAGTAGATGTCAGAGAAACATTTGATATCATAATTAAATATCTAATTATTCAAAACTCATGAACTAAGCCAAACAAGGAAAAAGAATTACCTACAAATTTACTTCAGAATTGCCGTACTACTCTCAGCAAATTCTGCGAACACGCGCCGGTTTTAATGCTCAATGCGCTGTTTTTGGCATACAAAGTCATGTCATGAAAACGTTAAAAATTTCATTTCATTTCTGATATTTTTGGTATAGGTTGGCCCTTATAATTTGTTTTTGCGTGAAAATATCGCCTCGTTAGAAGGAAACCATTGACGCTAGCTAACGAGGGAGCTATGTCCGACCATTAAATAAAACAACATAAAATAAATTACATAACCTTCCCATTTTGGGAGGCTCGACCATAACCTGGTGTCGGTATTGAACAGCTATGTTGGACTGACATAACCGTTCAATGTTGAAAGTTTTATCAAAATACATTCGTTAATAACGATAAATCTTGAGGAATTGGTATAAATTACATAAATAGTCACGCAATTGACTCAAATGAATGTTTTACATGTAAAGTTTAATCTCGCAATTAATATTCACATTAAGCATAAACTTGTTGAACTACGACAACCGAATTTTGAGTCAGTGATTTCGTTCCATGTGATCTATAATGAACAAATAAAAAACCAAATAACACAGAAATGTGCTCTAATTTTCCAAGAAGTGTTCCATGCTCGATTTTATGTATGCTGAAAATAGTTCCAGCTATGTTTACTATTCTATACGTCCATCCTGGAGTGTTACCTATTCCGAATGTATTTGAGCCTTGTTTAAATTCAGCGGAGCGATCCAACCCCCTGAAAGCGGAGCGTCATTTTTAGACAAGCTATTAAGACCAGCGCGACTTTCCGTTAAAGAATCGGTATAGCTTTAGAATATGAAGCCACGCTTCCAAAATAACTGCTTTCCCAGTATCCGAATTCCAGTTTTTCTGTTACTTGTTTCCAAATTATTGTTTTTTCTTACGCCTAAGCATCGAGTTCTCACAGTCTATGAACGTTGAATAGAGAGGACGATACTAAGTTATAGCGTTCATTATCGGGCTAATTAAAACGCCTTCAATACGGCCAGCCAGGCGTTCCAGTTTTAAATCATAGATGAAAATTGAGTGGCCAGCTAAAAGCCAGTCGCTGCTGGTTATTTATTATTTTTTTGAATAGCGCTAGAAATCGAGCAATCAAGCAAACTTTGAAAAAATGAGTCGAGATGAAAAGTCTGAAATGAGGTCCGGTAGTATATGCTTGTTGATAACCAAATTTTATTCATCCAATACCAACACACTAATTTCACTAATAATTTTTGATAGGATTGGAAGTCAACTAGCGGCCATGTCACTCACACATCGGTATTGTGATGATTTCTGGCACAAAGGAAGAAATGAGGTCCAATCGTTCGGCGATATCGATTGACGAAATGCAAATTCTTGCCCGACATAAAAGGCGTAGGAAAACATGATCGAAAGTGCCTGAACAGTTAGATCTTGCCCTTATTGAAATGTTATAGAAGCAATTTAATTAAGTGAGCAAGCGAGCTTAGTTTAGGACAGTGGTTCCCAAAGTGGGCGATATCGCCCCCTAGGGGCGGTGGAAAGATTTTGGGGGGCGGTGAGGAAGAAGAGGGCGGTAGGGGGGCGATAGGGGGCAGTATTCCGAAGTCAATGTCAGAAGTTCGAACGTTTGTTTGACGATTTGTACACAACACGTGCAGCACATCATGACTCCCAGCGATGGTTTTTTTTTAACCCAGATCTGTTATTTAACCTCTCCTGGGTTTACGTCTAGGACAAATTAACGGCCGGACTCGCGGCCGGACTCGCGGCCGGTCTCACGGCAAATTTCCAAATTCAATGATCAAGGAATATCTCTCAAATTAATGAACTTAACTAGATGAAACTTGGTACACGTATTTATTAGGACCTAACGATAATGTTTTGCTCGTGAAAATTGTTTGAATTTTGCCATCGTTTGTATTTGCCATAGTTATATGGCAATACGGGCCGAAATTCACAGTGATCAAGCAATTTCTTCCAAACTACTGAACAGATTCGAACTACTGAACAGATTTACAGTTCTATAACTACCAAACGGTGATGTTTAGCTCGCGAAAATTCTTTCGATTGTGCCTGCGTTCGCGAGTTTTTTTTTATTTCACCTTCATTCGTGATTTAAACAGCAATAAGTGCTACAATTCGCAGTAATCAAGAAATTTTTTTCAACTATTGAACAGATTTGAACGAAACTTAGTAATTAAATACCTAACCTAAGCAACGGCGATGTTTACAATTTTTTCGTTTTGCCTTCGTTTGCGAGTTATACGGCTATACGTATACGGCTCTTGGTTAAACCGGCCGGTAGAAAAGCTGGTCGTTCCTACTATATCTGTATAACTCGCGAACGAAAGCAAAATAGAAAAATTGTCACGAGCTAAACATCACCGTTGGGAGGTTATGTATTTATATACAGAGTTTCGTTGAAATCTGTTCTGTAGTTTAGAAGAAATTTCTTGATCGCCGCGAATTTAAGTGACAAATTACCCGGCGATACGGGCCGAATATACGGAAGTGTAAAATCAAGAATGACGGTGACATGAAAAAAAAAAATTTTTCAAACGAAAGTAAAATCGAAAAAAAATTATAAGCTTAAGAATCACCGTTTGGTAGTTAGGAATGTTTATTCTAAATTTCGTTCAAATCTGTTCAATAGTTTGGAAGAAATTCTTTGATTTAGGCCTGTTTCGCAATGTACGCGTAACTCACGAATGAATGAGAAATTTAAAAAAATTACGAGCTAAACATCACCATTAGGTTATGATGAATACGTGTTCCAAGTTTCATAGACCTGCGTTAATTAGTTTGGGATATATTACTTGATAATTGAATTTGGAGATTGGTCGTGAGACCGGCCACGAGTCCGGCCGTAAATTCGCCCGCGACGTCCTAGGTTTCTAGAGCCGAAACAGTTAAAACAGCTGAAAAACATATTGGTTCACTAAACGGGGTTCTATTTGTGAAATACACATTTGTGTTAAACCTTTATCTTTTAAAATTGCAGCGAACTAAATTTCAAGAAAGAGGCGTATATGTCTGTGGGGGGCGCTAGAAATTCACTAGGGAGCCAAAGGGGGGCGCCAGCCTGAAAAAGTTTGGGAACCACTGGTTTAGGAGGATGTCACTAATTAGTTAACTCACACATGAATTTTTGTAAATTTATCGTTGTAAAAATACGAGATATGATTGTTACTATCAAATGAATGACTATCACCCTCCTCTGAGAATGTATTCAGAATAAAAAGCAATAAAATGTGTACCTGAGAGCATTTTTTTGCAGGGGCTGGACGTTTACAGTAAAATACACTGAACGGTTCAGACATTCTACGTTGTCTGTAACAAACTAATTCGATGAAAATAGTATAAATAATTCACAAGAGCTACAATTTCAACGCTGAATGAAACGATACAGAAAACGCGCTGCATGGAAGTCGATTAATTCAAAGGACTGCGGCAGTTCAGATCTTGTATAACTTAACTTCGTCTTCAAACAATAAAAAGGTAGAAACTTAACAAAAAAAAGTCCGACTGAAAATGCACTAAGCTAAACTAGCCTTGACAGTGTCAGGTTTCTGCCCCACGAAGTTGTAGAAGGAAAGATCAACGAAGCTGTTGCCGTACACGACGCACAGAGACTTGCTCTCCAGAGACGTTAGGTTGCCGAAGCAAGCTTGCACTCGCGAGTCCTGATCAAAGACATCATTTGTTAAATGTTATATATAATTGCAAGTTAGAGTAAATATAAAAATTGATGATATCATTTGTTAAATGTAATATATAATTGCAAGTTAGAGTAAATATAAAAATTGATGATATCATTTGTTAAATGTAATATATAATTGCAAGTTGGAGTAAATATCAAACTTAACGCTACATCATTTGTTAAATGTTATATCTAATTTCATGGTAGAGTAAATATCAAATTTGATGCTATATCATTTGTTAAATGTAATATATAATTGCAAGTTAGAGTAAATATCAAATTTGATGCTATATCACTTGTTAAATGTTATATATAATTGCAAGTTAGAGCAAACATCAAACATGAAGCTACATAATTTTTTAAATCTTATATATAATTCCAAGTTAGTGTAAATATCAAACATGAAGATACATCACTAATTAAATAGAACATTGCATAAGTAAGAGATAGTTGGGAGATAATAAGGCAAGCCTTACGTTATGGACACTGTTATAGTAGAATATCATATAAATAGGACATTATTAAGAGCAATGTAGGCATTCTGAAATCATAGGTCTCGCTAAATGTAAGCCAAAATTAATTTTATATATAATAAATGTTTTAAGATGCAGGGTTGCGAGCGCCTACAATTTAATTGAATTGAAATAATTAAAACGTTACTTGATGCTTTAGTTTTGCACGGCTCGTACAAAACACATTTTTTTAATTCAAGTTTTACGATAGCTGTAAAACTTTCTGATACCTGGCTAACGAAACTATATTTTTTCAGATTGGTGCCACACCGATTTACATAGAAACTGGCGAGGTAAATGCAGTTAAAAATAACTGGCGACTTTATCGTCATTGATGTCTGAGTATAAATATTCAATTTTTACTTGTAAAGGAAACATACAGTTATAATAGCAACACTAAAGTTAATTGTAATACATTAACAATAATCATTTAATTATTTATTAATATTAGTTATTATTATATTATTATTTAATTATTATTATACTAATTATATTATTTATTAATATTAATTATTTATAATTTAAATTCATTAATTAATAAATAATTTGCATTGTTGATGTAATAAATAGGAAGATACCTTAGGCACGCGGGCGTATCTGCCTGTACGTGTATCTCTGATACACATGATGTCAAGAATCTCCGTCTCCTGCAACGAAGAGATGAACATTCATTAGTCTAGTCTTAGGTGCAAATAAATACAACAAATTCAATCACATTAATACGTGACAAAGACATTTAATGTTCAATTTAAGAATAGATAATCAAACTAATTGAAATTCAGCGAGAGGGATCCAACATAATAAAAGTGGAGCGTCAGTTTTAGACAAGCTTATAAGACCAGCGTGACTTTCTGTTACGAAATCGGCATAGCTTTAGATTATGAAGCCACAAATAAATATAACTCAGTACTCAATGCAGTGAGTGACAGAGAGCGCATTTTCTCGTCGACGAAAAAGTGAAGTCACGGACGGACAGACGGACGGACGGACGGACGGACGGACATGGCGAGCACAATAGTGCATTTTTTCCATAAATGCGCTAAAAATGTTCTTCCAGTATTCGAATTCCGGGTTTTTTGTTTTTGATTCATTGTTTCTTAACGCCTCAGGACCGAGTTCACGAAAGCAAGTGTCCATGAACGTGAAATGGAGAGAACGATACTAAGTTAGTTTGAACAAACTCTTTTGATATAACCACGTCTTACTAAATACAGAGGAAAACGTCTTTCTATTGACAATACAAGTAAATCAATAAAATTAAATTTCGAATCCCTGAAAAAAAACCCTAAACCCGGCAATAGCGAATGCACGTTAATAAATACACGGTATTTACAACTAACATTTAAGTACCACTCAAACTGAAATAATTTCATAGAGACTACCCACATCAAGATTTCAAGATTTATTTTTATTTATATATTATCCAAAACAGGCTTGAACGAAAAAGTCCTTGAATACTTTGCATAATCCAACAATTTCGACGCGGATAACAAAAATTCCGACACATAAATGTCATTTTTTACTGGGATGCTGCTGAGTGCCTCACAGACAAGAAACGGACGGCGCGACACAATTTTGAACTAAAAACACTTCTGATGCGATAACAGGAACGCGTTAAATCCATATCAAAACTAAAATATGTTAGAGCTTGCATTATTCGGTAATATGTAACAGTTGCGTAATCACAGTATTTAAGTTGTAATTAGTTAAAGTAGGGAAGAATAACTAGCAGGTTTCCTGGAATACCTTACAGTGCCAGAGATAAGAACCAAGATGGAGTTGAAAATGGATCCAGGAATGCACAAGTGCCCAAGTTTCAGCAATATTAAGCAGAACAAATAAGTGATTTATTCTAACTTATATATCACGCTTAGAAGTTAGCTTCCGTCAAAGCACAACAATTACAAAAAGAGTTTCGATATATTGACTTACGCGAAAGTTTACACCACGACAAAATATATTTTTCAGTAAAGATTAATAGATTTAATGATTTACTGAATTTTATTCTGATACAGATGTATATTCCATACAGATGACACACACATTACCAGCATACGATAGTTGATGGGGTTAGAGGTATGTTAAATATAAAATATAACTAAAAACAATTACATCTGGGTAATATCTTGTCTCATATAATAAAAATACCAATTTATCACTAATATAAATTTGTTCCCCATGAAGAACAATAATTGCACAGTAGCAGGTTGAGATATACTGTAAAAGGTACCAGACCAATATTGTTCTATACAATATGCAAATTATTTGCATTATAAATTTAAAATGTTAAATCTGGAATTTCCACTGAATATCACAGTTTCACTTTCATCGATACTAAATCTCCATTCACAAAATTTTGCATTCGTCTTGAATATTTCAGCATACAGCATCAATTTGCTAGGGCAGCAAGCGTGGCTGTTTCTTCTTTAAATTGAACAACTCTTTAAAAAATTGATCATAGATAATGTAACAGAAATAGTAGAACAATTATTCTTTTTTTTCAAACTTGGATATTCGCTGAATGGTTGCAGTATAATGCTCCTGACGACGACACGCGCGCGTCTGGATTACTGCTGCTAAATTGACGTCCGGTGTCACTTCCTGAGCGACAATTCCTGTCATGAATACGACGTCGGATTTCCAAAAAATGTTCGATGATGACGACAGGAGTCTAAGCAGTCAATTCTTCAAATAGAGTGGATTTTTTTAATGGTAACATGCCGGTTCCAGATATTTTCACTTTGATTCCACAATCCACAAAATTGTTTCCAACATAAACGAAAATTATTTCGATATCAAAAATATTCAGACTACGTTAAAAATGCTGGGACTTCTCCCAGGCATAAAATAAGCAAGACTCAAATGAAATTAATCATTCCCTTGCATAAGTTTTAATGCTGAAGCTCACGTCAATATGTTACCTAGGAAGATCTATCGGCCGACAACATATATTCAGTTTTCTATATAAAGGAAAACGCGTTGAAAAAGAGCACAGCTAATAGAAGAACCAATTATCCGGATGACATGAAGCAATAACAAACCCAGGTTTGAGAAATGACAAATTAGCAGCGCAACCAGAGCGTAGCTACTGATCAAATAAATACATGATACAGTCACAACACATTTATACAAGGACAAGTAGTATAACAACAACAACATTAAATAGAGAGGGGGCGATAAAGAGAGCAAGTTGAAAATAGAGAGCAATTAAGAGAGCAAATAAAAAAATGAGAGCAATTAAATGAGCAAATTGAAAAAAATATAACCCAGTACTCACTGCAGTGAGTGACAGAGAGCGCATTTTCTCGTCGACGAAAACGTGAAGTCACGTTCGGACAGACAGACAGACGGACAGACGGACGGACGGACATGGCGAGCACAATAGGGAATTTTTTCAATAAATGAGATAAATAAAATAAAATATTTTACAAGTATTAAACCTATTTTATACAGCATGCCAAAACATTGCTGAAGTCACAATTTTGTTCGACCGAAGCACAAAGTGCCTCGAAATTCCATCCAACACGATATTTACATTGAATAAAATGACAATAATCTTCAATGAATTGAAAGTTCTTACAATACATATTAAAATAGATGCTAGGTAAACCTTGTGTCACTTTCATCAAGGCTATACAGAACTTTACAATGTCACATTTTATGTTTCCTTCGTTCTTAGCTATGAAAAATTTGTCGCTCTGAAGTGACCTACAATCGAACTTCATTTTCATAAAATTCAAGCCGAATTTGTAACAATTAATATTTTTCTTGCTTCACACAAATTTTCTTTTGACAAATTAGTTAATTTCAATTTTATATCCGTACTTATATGCAATTAAATTTATCAATGTCTAGAGAATTTAATAAAAAAAATTATCATTAATTAATGAAAAATATTAAAAAGGCATGAAAAATGTATGACTGAGTACGAACAGCAGAGGAAAATGTTTGATTGAGGATGAAAGAAGCAGCAGAGAAGTAAAAGAAGGTAGAGTAGGTATATGCCTCCCTGTCCTAAGGAATAGGCCTCCCTGTCCTAAAAAATAGGCCTACCTGTCCTAAGAAATAGGCCTCCCTGTCCTAAGGGATAGGCCTCCCTGTCCTAAAAAATAGGCCTACCTGTCCTAAGAAATAGGCCTCCCTGTCCTAAGGGATAGGCCTCCCTGTCCTAAAAAATAGGCCTACCTGTCCTAAGAAATAGGCCTCCCTGTCCTAAGGGATAGGCCTCCCTGCCCTGTCCTAAATATTAAGCGTACCTGAGACTCAGAGTCGTGGTTCCAGTAGAGGAAGTAGCCGTGGGGATCGATCTTCAGAGTAACTGTGCACGTGCCGTCCTGATGGAACAGAAAAAACAGAACTTTAATTTTTAAAATTTAAAAAAATTATATAAAAAAACATGAAGTTCGTTCACTTGCATAGTTTCATACATCTAAAAGCGCCAAAAACGCATCATAGCGCTTTCATACAGCTGATACGCAAAGCAGAAAGCAATAGAATTATCATTGAATAGTTTCACAACACTCAACCTTCGTATGCTACTCCTATTTCGCCAACATGGTTTGATCGATGTATTTAAACACTACTAAATTCATTACGGCGCTGCATTCTAATAACCTCGCAGGGAGGCCACATGTATTGCGTAAACTGCAATTAAACGATGGAAATAATTGCCTACAAGCTCTCCATATTTTTTATTTACTCACACAAATAAGCGACATATTAAATAGTATACCTATACAAAAAATATGTTGCAGGTTCGAGTCTAGAAAAAAAGAGCCACGACCACAAAATTTCCCGTCGGTGGCATATCGAAAGACGCTCAGGATGAAGTATCGTATTCTGAGGCGCAAAAGAAAGAAGCTTCGTATTGCAAAGCGCGACTCAATATCCGAGGTGCCGACCTCAGATGAAGCGACCCAAAGAAACGCTTTATCGAGAAAAGATGGAGATGACCAGCGAGGTCTATGAGCCCAGGCATCTCAGGACTAGTCTTGCATATTCATTGAGCTGTGAGGCCAGCAACTGAACTCACTGACGGTTTTTTAATTGAATTTTCATCGCTCAAGTGGACGGAACCTTTCTCGTAGTCAAAGATTAAATTTGATTGTGGTTTGATCTGGTCGTCATTCACTTGTTTGATGGCTGTTATTGACTTATTGTGTAATATTAGACAATTAGAGTATCAGGATTAAACGATTTGTCAATAAAAACATATTTAGGTGAAAGGACGAGTGTACAATATGCATGCTGATCATAAGTATGTGTTTAAGTTAACAATAGAGATGAAGCACAGTGCTGCGTTTAAATAGAAAAACAGTACTGAACATAAACAGTAGAGACATAAAACAGTACTGAACTGAAGAGCTTAGTGGGCAAGAATATTGCTTAAAACACAAGGATGAGGACAATATATTACGACGGGATTATAATTCTACAACAGTATTTAACGTATCTATTTCGACAGGTCACGTATTTTAAATGACACGACTAATTTTAGCAATATTGCCATGGCCCAGATAAATGACAATGTGTCGAAAAAAACATACGAGGCCATTCTAGGCAGGCACCATGATAAGTGGCAGTTCTTAACAGCCGCCCACTGTGCAAAGTTTGAGCAGGTCTGAAGAGGCTCCGGCGATGAGATGTCGTCAAACAGAGACCACGCTCGGCCAAAATGAGCGCTGGCTTTGCTACCCCAACAAAATTTAGAGTCGCCTCAGCTTCTGGTAATCCAAATCAGAAGCTGCCGCGACTGTAAATTTTCACTGGGTACCTTTGGCAAATTCTTTAGCAGACCGGGGGCCCTTGGCCGGGCTGGAGAGGCTGGCGAGCAAGCTTGAGATCAACGGATAGAGCGAGGTCAGCAGGATAGAGCGAGGTTAGCGGGATAGAGCGAGGTTAGCAGGATAGAGCGAGGTCAGCAGGATAGAGCGAGGTTAGCAGGATAGAGCGAGGTCAGCAGGATAGAGCGAGGTCAGCAGGATAGAGCGAGGTTAGCAGGATAGAGCGAGATCAGCGGATAGAGCGAGGTTAGCAGATAGAGCGAGGTCAGCGGATAGAGCGAGATCAGTAGGATAGAGCGAGGTGACAGACATAGTGTGCAGCTCTAAATCAGGAGAAACTAAAAGTAACAGCTGAAGTGATAACAGTAGCACGAATTAAAAGCGACGTGATGTGAAAAAGATCGAAAAGTTTCGCGATGTGAAAAGTTTCAAAATCCAAAATGAAATTTGCAGGGAACAAAGATAATTCAAAGTATTAAAAGGAGTGATAAGGGCGTCATAGAAACAAATACCTATCACGTGAACTAATGTAGATGATGTGATTGTTTATGATGATCTAAATAAAACGTAACTGGCGTTCTCTTTATTCTTGTAAACAGCCTAGTTTTAAAGGTTTATTGATGAATACCTTGAATTAATAAAATCAATTGAAAGTGAGAAAAGTGAGATGTGGCTCACACGAAACAATATGTATTGGAAAAAAATTTTTAGGCATTACGAACGATGTTCTCTACACTAGCGTTAGATGAACGCGGCGCAGCGTAAAAATTTCCTTTGAGGGATACGACGTCTACGTAGAGCGAGGGTCGTCTACGTAGAGCGAGGGTCGTCTACGTAGAGCGAGGGTCGTCTACGTAGAGCGAGGGTCGTCTACGTAGAGCGAGGGCCGTCTACGTAGAGCAAAGGCCGTCTACGTAGAGCAAGGGTCGTCTACGTAGAGAGAGGGCTGTCTACTTAGAGTGAGGGCCGTCTACGTAGAGCGAGGGCTGTCTACTTGGAGTGAGGGCCGTCTACGTAGAGCGAGGGCCGTCTACGTAGAGCGAGGGCTGTCTACTTGGAGTGAGGGCTGTCTACGTAGAGCGAGGGCCGTCTACGTAGAGCGAGGGTCGTCTACGTAGAGTGACGGCCGTCTACGTAGAGCAAGGGTCGTCTACGTAGAGAGAGGGCTGTCTACTTAGAATGAGGGCTGTCTACTTAGAGCGAGGGTCGTCTACGTAGAGCGAAGGCCGTCTACGTAGAGCGAGGGCCGTCTACGTAGAGCGAAGGCCATCTACGTAGAGCGAGGGCCGTCTACGTAGAGCGAGGGCCGTCTACATAGAGCGAGAGCCGTTTGCATAGAGCAAGGGCTGTCTACATAGAGCGAGGGCCGTTTGCGTAGAGCAAGGGCCGTCTACGTAGAGCGAGGGCCGTCTGCGTAGAGCGAGGACCGTCTACATAGAGCGACGGCCGTCTACGTAGAGCGAGGGCTGTCTTCTTAGAGCGAAGGCCGTCTACGTAGAGCGAGGGCTGTCTACGTAGAGCGAGGACCGTCTACGTAGATCTACTTGGAGTGAGGGCTGTCTACGTAGAGCGAGGGCTGTCTACTTGGAGTGAGGGCTGTCTACGTAGAGCGAGGGCTGTCTACGTAGAGCGAGGGCCGTCTACGTAGAGCGAGGGACGTCTACGTAGAGCGAGGGCCGTTTACGTAGAGCGAGGGTCGTCTACGTAGAGTGAGGGCCGTCTACGTAGAGCGAGGGCTGTCTACGTAGAGCGAGGGCTGTCTACGTAGAGCGAGGGCCGTCTACGTAGAGCGAGGGCCGTCTACGTGGAGCGAGGGCCGTCTACGTGGAGCGAGGGCCGTCTACGTAGAGCGAGGGCCGTCTACGTAGAGCGAGGGCCGTCTACGTAGAACGAGGGCCGTCTACATAGAGTGAGGGCCGTCCACGTAGAGTTAGGGCTGTCTACGTAGAGCAAAGGCCGTCTACGTAGAGTGAGGGCTGTCTACGTAGAGCGAGGGCCAACTGCTTGCGTAAACAACAGGTATTGGCGTGAATGTGTTGTTCAGAAGACCTCATATAAGGGGAGCTATAGCAGGCATGTATGCGTGGGTAACGTTCACTAGCCGTGACTGATCTGTGAGACACATTGAGAAGAAACAAGACGTTCAATAATATAAAATCCACAGTAAATATAGTCAAATTAATGGCACTAAACAACGAGTTTTGTTCAGCGGTGAATAATGTCGGTGCAAACAGAAGCAGAAGTATACAAGGATCCAGCTGGGATAAAAATCAAATGCAAACAATGCAAGGACATTCCGGAATATGAGCACCAACAGCTTAGCAGCTATAACTGTTATTGTTGTCTCGCAGCCATTTTCTAAATGTGTCTCACAGAATACAGTTGTGAGACACATTTATAAGTGGCAAGACGAGACTACAGGTATGACTGCAAGCTATGGCCACAATAAGGAAACAAGGGTCTTTGCCTCTGGGAGACTACATTGAACAATGCAGCTGCCATGTACACTTTTTTGGAGGGAAGACATGAATGAAAAGTTATCGCAAAAATTCGGTACAATAAAATTTTCTTTATGCCGTTCGTTAGCCCGTGACTCCAGATAACCAAGTCATTGCTTTTCCTAAGTTAATATTGAACATGAATATTATTAATTTTCAAACCTCACATGTGCTATTCATCCAGATAAATAATTGATTATAATTGGCAAAGGATGGAGAGGTATTTCATGTACATGATAAGGCGATCATGGATCTGTAGAGAAATAAAAGGTATAATAAATGCCTAGAGTGAAACCGACGTTGAATGTATATAAGACAAATGCGTGCAGTTTCACACCATATTAATGGACATACCCGAACTCTGGTACCTTTCTTTTATAAACAAAAGGAGAAATATGAGGATGTAGTCAGAAAATAGAGCACATGTGTCCTCGTATGTCATGTCATGTTGAATGCACTTGTAGCCAGAAGTTGCACCTGCACAATAAATTTGAAACTTACGACCATCGTGCAATAAAACATTGTGAGAGAATCTACCTCCATCACAGGACACGTGCAGGCTTGCGATTAGAGTAACATTTATCACCGACTTTACGACAATGACAAATTTTACGTCTGTCACTGGCCTGGAAAAAATTGCGGCACATCATTGTGATAGTCATTAAAGTTATGGTCGTCGTAAAGTTCCGGACATGTGTCGAACTTTTACTGCCCGTCTGACTTACGGTGCCCGTCTGACTTACGGTACCCGTCTGACTTATGGTAGGTACCCGTCTGACTTATGGTGCCCGTCTGACTTACGGCGCCCGTCTGACTTACGGTGCCCGTCTGACTTACGGTGCTTGTCTGACTTACGGTGCCCGTCTGACTTACGGTGCCCGTCTGACTTACGGTGCCCGTCTGACTTACGGTGCCCGTCTGACTTACGGTGCTCGTCTGACTTACGGTGCTCGTCTGACTTACGGTGCTCGTCTGACTTACGGTGCTCGTCTGACTTATGGTGCCCGTCTGACTTACGGTACTCGTCTGACTTACGGCGCCCGTCTGACTTAC